GGAAGAAAACTCAGCGAGTTGGAAGAACAACTCGGCGAGTTGATTAAAGATAGCCTTGGACTCGGTGAGTCTGTTCTTGGACTCGGCGAGTCTGATCTTGAGGTCCTAGCCTTTTCTGGTTAAGCTAAGAATCGGTGAGTCAAGGGATGACTCAATGAGTTGGAAGGGGGTCCTTTTCAGTATGGGGGACTCGGCGAGTAGAGTCAGCCAGAAGGTTGACTTTGACTTTGAATTTGACCAAGGGTTGACCAGTTGACTTCCTGGGGTATTTTGGTCATTATTGGTATTTATTGAGTTTAGTCTTTTGGTATTATCAGTGGTGAAGTTCGTGTCGGAGGTTGGAGCAGGGTGAGCTATCTTGTCAGTTAGCAGTTGCGAGGTGAGTTATCCTCACTATATCGACAGGGTCTAAGGCACCAAGGCCGGCCCTTTATCGGATTGAGATCTGGATATTTGTTGTTATGTTATTGCTTTGATATGTCTGCATCCTGGTAGCTAGGATGGTATATGTTAGAGACCTAGTTAAGGTCGGTTTCCTGATATGTAGGGTGATGCTATGCTAAGTGACCGGTTAGGTCGGTATCCTGGTTAGGGTAATGATATGTTATGTGATCTGCTTGATCGGCTTGTTGACTATGAACTGTTATATGATTGTATGTTATGTGCACATGGTTGTTTGGACTAGAGTTGGGTTGAGGCGGGTCCTGCTTTGTGCTGTAGGCCAAGATACCCAGGGTGGACCGGTTGTTCCGAAGGCCCAGCAAGCGGTCCGGATAGGCTGTAGGCCCCCGAGGGAGGACCAGACGTGCCGAGGCTCGTAGAGTGGATCAGACCGACTGAAGGCCCGATGCGGGCGGACCAGTCATACTGTAGACTCAGAGAGTGGACCAGGTGGGTTAAAGGCCCGGTGAGGGTGGACCAACCATACTACAGACTCGAGGGACATGACTGGACTTGGAGGGTGGACCAGGTGGACTGAAGGCCCGATACGGCGGACCAGTCACACAGTAGACCCGATATGCGTGGTTGTTCTGTGATTCGATATGATATAGCATGTTATGTGTATGGTATATGTGGTTGGTATTTTGGGGGTATCTCACTAAGCTTTCGGGCTTACAGTTGTGGTTTAATGTTTTTTAGGTTCTTCAGGAGACCGTGGCAAGGCGAAGGCGTGATCGTACCGCTCCTCGTGTTAATGTTTTATGATATGGACCTGGGAATACTCTAATAATAAATGTATTGAAAACCTTTTTGTAATGACTTAATGAATTGGGATGTTTTTGAAAAGTTTAAAATTTTGTTGAAATTTTTGGTCGTTACAATAGCCTTGATAAAGAACGATATAACAGCTCTAAATGTAGTTTTATCTGATTTGCAAACTCTTCAAAACATGGAAAAGATACAATCTTCCATTCTAATACTGTTTGTTATGATCTGAAGAACATGCTAACGGGGAGCTACAAAAAAGTTTCAAGATTTATTAACAAGGACTGCGGTTGTTTCTTTTTTATATTCTTTATTCTCCTTCCCCTTTAATGGTTATAAATTAGAATTAATCTCATTCTTGCTCTTACAACAGAATATCAAGGCTCATGAAAATAGGAGACAAATCTTTTCTACAAGGCTAAAATATGGGACAGATTTGAGTTCCAGGGGTAAAATAGGAAACTTGCCTTTATATGTAGTTTATGTGTTTGTTTAGGATTCGGTTAAGATTAGTATAAATAGGGATAACGTTTAGGTTAATTTAGTTCAGTTTTTTCCAGCAATAATCAAGGGGACAAAAAATGTATCTATTTCCATTGCAAAGATCTTGGGTTGCACGGAGATGCCAAAGAAGCTGAAGATTGTATTAGATGATGTAATCATGTATTACTTAGGACATAATTTGTAAAGGTTTTTTGACGAATTGTATATGTTGACAGAAATTGTATTGAAAAGTATTGTTTTTGTTGGATTGAGCTGAAATTGCAATCCACTTTTCTTATTTATTCGAAATAGCAATGTACTTATAAATACTTTCATTTTTAACCCACAATAATATCATATTTTCGTTTTTAACCCATACTAGCATCATATTTTCGTTTTCACCCACAATAACATCATAATTTTGTTTTTCACCCATACTTGTATCATAATTTTGTTTTTAACCCACAATAGCATCATATTTTGTTTTTAACCCACAATAGCATCATATTTTCATTTTTAACCCACAATAGTATCATATTTTCGTTTTTAACCCATAATAGTATCATATTTTCATTTTGAAACACATAAGAACAACCAACATGCAACTTTAATCACAAAAATCATAAATAATGAACAAATTTTCATTTAAAAACTATACAAAAAATGTTAAGAAACATAAAACAATTTCCAGACTATTCATATATTGTTAACCCCAAAAAATGTCAAAAATGCCAAGAAGCATATCGAATTTCCGTTGCGGACAAAAACAACACAACTCATCATTATGTCTCTTCCAATGATTCATCTGCCTGATACATGTAAAAAAATATTGTTAAATGTTAATATAATTATTAGAGTTCTAAATCATTAAAAATAAATTAAATTAATATTAAAAGTACATTTCTTTTGGAACAACTAGTAGCGTAATGACCCAATCCTTGACAGTAAGAGCATGTACGTTTTTGGGAGCTTCTAAAGAAGATCTAATTCTACTAGCAATTTTAGGACGCCTTTTGTGGTAGTTGGACCAAGAGGATCACGGACAGATAATTGTGGCATCATATCTATTTGCGAAACTCCCATACAAGAACCTTGAGATGCATTCTCCAAAGACATAGATTTCTTTTGATTTGTTTGATCATGCAAAAGACTTATCAATAGTGTATTGACTTTTTGTATCTCTGAAGGGGAGTCTCTAGCTTGTTCAATTAGTTTAGTAAAATTTGAACGGACACACCATAGTGTGTAGGCACTAACTCCATTTTCATTATTCATTTCTTCGAGTCCGATACTAGCACTACCTAGTTTGTACCTAACATTAAGGATCCATCGTGGTAAAATATAGTGATTCGGGAGTTCTTTAAGATGCTTCTTCTTCATCACATATAGGCTATGCTTACATAAAATCCCATTTGTCTCATACTTAGCACAGGAACATGTTGTCACACCCCCAAACCAGAACGGCAGAAACGTTCGGGGGCGGAGGACGTCATATTCAGTATCATAACAGTTCATAGAAAGGAAAGTACACACCACCATATATGTTAAAGTTTCCAAGATGTTTACATAATTGTATTCATTACATGTTCAAAAGATAAATACATACACATCATTCAAAAGAAGTAATTAACACCGGCGCGTTAATCCCAAAAGTTGATTCCCAAACCTGCTTAGCGGTTCCCTGAGAATACAAGTTATTTCAAAGAAAAAGTGTCAACAATTATGTTGGTGAGTTCATAAGTAGTTTAGAAAAATTGGATGCCATTCCAAAATAGGTGTATGCTTTCCAAAAAAACTCAGTATTTCAAGTGTGAAGAGTTGTGACTTGTTGTATTGAAAATGAATGTATTAGATCCAGAAAATCCCATATTTTCCCTAATGGATGAGATATGATTTGTTGTATCTTCCAAGAAAAACCCTTATTTTCTTATAAAAGTATGAAATGCATATGAATGTTCGTGTCATAAGTTGTAAATAATTGCACCAGGAAAATCCCTTATCTTCCTATTAGTTGTTTGGTTTGTATACAGGAAAAACCCTTATTTTCCTAACATGGCTGGCAGTCTCTAAGACCGAAAATCGCAAGAAAACGACGTTCTTAAAAGTTTGTCATAGTTTTATATAATAAAGCTATACGAAGATCGCGTTTGTTAGCTGAAGAATAGTTTTAACAGTCACTCGTTCATAAAAGCATAATACCATAATAATTGTATATCCGATGAGTTTTATAACCATACTAAACATAATATGCCTGTAACGACGTTCTTCAGGCGTCGCAGCGTTATGACAACTGTCACTCCAAAGGACGGACTGTAGCTAACAGTCAGGGCGCGGGATCATGACTTCCCGTATAGATCTATACACATTTGACACGTTCTCCGAACGGGAGACTCTGGTTATAGACAGGACTTGCAGCATTACTTTCTAATAAAGAAAAGTAACGTTTGAAGATATACACGTCTCATGGATTCTCAACTAAGCCTGTATTAAAGTGATAGTTTTTGTATGCAAAGTTTATCCTTTTTCACAATGTTTGACGAAACATGAATCATAAGTTTTTAGAATGTATAAAACGACTTAACAATGAAAGGTACTTTGAAATCATTATATACTTGCATAAGTCTAATGCACACAAAGTATGACAGGAGTTTTCCATAATAGTAATGAGTTCCAAGTGATTTATTCGGTAAAACAAGTGAAGTGAAACTTTATAAAATACACGATAATAACCGTATGTTTACTTGTATTCCCCCCTAAAAGAGTATAAAAGCATTTAAAATGTATTTAAAGTGTGTTTGAAAGGGGTATGAACTCACTTGATTGAAGTGGTTGATTTGAAGTAGTCGAGAGAAGAATCGAGCAGAACTTCGACAGGAAGAGTTGAAAACGCGGGAAATCTCGAGATTCTCGGGAATCTCGGGAATCTCGGGAACACAAAACCTTCCTTCGGGACTTGAAGGTGAAAACCGGGGCTTCGGGAGGGTCTCGGGGGCTTAAACGCAGAGTTTCGGCGCGAGAAAGAAAGGAACTGAGCAATGGAGCTCGGAACCCTTGAAATCTACTTATAGGGGAGTTTTTGGGGTGTGCCACGTCGTGGCAGTGATGGCCACGTCGTGGGGAGTCAAGCTTATCCTCTTCCATTGATTGGACGCCCTCAGTCACTTTCCGGGTCGCGGCAAGCTTGTGCCACGTCGTGGCAAGCCTGACAGCCTCGGATTTCGGACCTCGAACTTGTAAAATCCATAACTTTCGCGTACGAGCTCCGTTTTCGACGTTCTTTATATGCACGCGTAGCTAAAAACATGATCTACAACTCTCGTTTAGACTTCATTGGCAAATTCTGAATTTATTTTTAATTATTTATTTTTAACGGGCCGGGACGCGATAATTCCGTTAGAAATCCATAACTTCTTCATCCGATGTCCGTTTTCGTCAGACTTTTCATCGTTGCGCTACTAATGTTGAGACCTTAGATTCTCATTTAGGTTGTTTTGGTCAAAAGTATCTTGAGCTCTATTTCGAGTTTTTAGCTGTCTACTGCTATACCCGAATCTTGGAAAAATCATAACTTTCTCATACGAAGTCAGATTTGGACGTTCTTTTTATGTACGCTCACGGTTTGAGGTTATCTATAACTTTAATTTAGATACTTAAGGCTAAAAACTATTGTATTGAAACTTCGCGTTTTTCGTTTAATCGGTGTTGCCGGTTTTGCCGAGAATCTTCGGTTGGTCATAACTTCTTCGTTATAACTCGGATTTTAGGGTTCTTTATATGTACGAAAACCTTGATACGATTCCTACTACTTTATTTAACCGAAATAAGATTTTAGGAAAGTTATATTTTGACCTAAATTTGATTGGTTTTACATTACATTGTCTCGAAATATCGGGTTGTCACATTATCCCCCCGTTAGAAGGAATTTCGTCCCGAAATTAGAATTTAAGCAAGGAAGTATGCACGAATGATCGAGTCGTGAGGAGGAAACTTCCTAATCGATTGATTCTAGTGCACCTAAGTGATAACGGGTTCTCGGTTGGCATTCCAACGAACCTTCATTAACTGGCGATGGCGTTTCTTCGTCTGCTTGACCTCTCGGTCGAGGGTCACTACAGTTCTAATACAAAGGCAAGGATCTCAACGAGTGGACTTGCAAGAGTCCTAACGGAAAGGTATGGTTTCACGATCGAGATGCGAAGAGTAGAAAGTACGTTACTGAGTTCGCGGAGTAGGTCTAGTTTGTGTGAGGCACAAGACCGATTCTGATAAGAATCTCGGAGGTCCTGTCTACCTTGGATTTAGCTTTCCACGCTTTACAAAGCGTATTAAGCCATTCCCAGAGTGAGTTATCCTAAAGAACTTGGTCACTCACTTGGAATCTCTAAGGTTCCTTTTCTTGCGTAACCTCCCAGTCAAAGGCCATCCCTTGCTGGGTCAAAGTCGTATGAGTTTCTGTAGCTTGCGAGGAGTTCTGAATGAACTAAGGCGGTAGGTCGGTAAGACCTAGAATCTGGCGAAAGACTGTCGGCGTCTCTGATGTCGATAAATGCTCAACGGTTTTGACAAATTGCAAGAGTACTCATAATTTCTCACATTACTAACAGTGTGTCCTAGAAATTTGACTCTTCAATTTCAAAACTCGCGCCTAGAGAACTTTGCTAAGAGTTCCTCTGTAGGAATGTTACCATTGGCTTTCTTCTTACTACGAGGGTAAATAAGTAAGTCATTACATGGAGAAATGATGATTGGTCCTAGTAAGAAAGACGTAACTCTATTTATTTAGCTCATGAAAACTATGGGCGTATTGGTCCTATCCGAAAGGTATCCCTACGAACTCGAAGTGTCAGCATCGAGTTCAAGATATAGTCTTGCAGACATCCTCCCCTAACACTCGAACTGGTGATATTCGGATTCCAGATCCATTCCTGGAAGTAGTTTCTTTCCTTGCGTTTGCTCAACTATTTTATCTATGCGAGGTAGAGATAACGATTTCTATGAAAATCTTGACGGAGTCTTCGATAACCGAGGTACATGCAATGCGATCTGTCGATCTCTGGAAGAATATGACCGAGGTTCTCTAGGGTGAGAAACCTAGTCTTCTAATTCTATTTATGTGTAGTTCGCTAAGTTGTTCAAACTGTTCTTGTATCTCCGTGGGTGTTTAAACTATAAGGTGATCTGCTTACGGGAGTCGTACTGGGTTCTATGCTTGTTCTCATGACGATGTGATTACTCATACTTAGGCAGTTCTCCGTCCTGAAGTTCATATTAGAATTCATACCTAGTTTCACAATCACCCTTTCATGTATACGAGTCATATATAATTAAGGTTGAAAAGGTAGTCGAATAACGGTTTCGCTGGAAAAGTGATCCAGAAGAAAGAGATGTACGTATGAAGCTGTTTTCATGAGGACCAAACTGAATCAATTCGTATGATAATGTCGAAATCATATTGAAACTTAAAGACATTGGATTTAAACATAAGACGTTTACAGACAAAGCACAACCGTGCAACCATGAACAAAGTTACAATACTTTAGATTTACCATAAGACTATTTCTGCGAATAAGATATACTACAAAAGACAAGTATACACAGCACGAGAATTCCTATACAGACAGGATCTCGCAAAAGGTAAGACTCTAGTTGCACTAGTTTTAGATGGTTTATAAGTCTGTTACAACAAAACGCCTAAATTACATTTAACGTGGTTCCGGAGCAGGCTCTCCTGCGGCTGTGATCCTGAGAATCTTCCCGTCTACGCCAGAGTTTTGTGTTATCGGTCAATCCTTCTGAAGGTGTCCAATTTCACCGCATTAGTAACATATATGGACAGCACCCACATTTGTGGTGGAAGTGAAACGTCGAGTAGGAGTTATGGGGATGCGGGTTCTTTCCTTTTTCGGGCAATCTCTCTTATAGTGCCCAAACTCTCCACAATGATAGCAAGTCTGGTTCCCATCGGCGTTGGGCGAATTGTTGATCGGTTTTGTTAGGCTCTTGCAGTAACGTTTGGTGTGCCCCTTTTTGTTGCAATTTTTGCATTGCAAGGCTCGGCAGATTCCCTCGTGGTGGTAATTGCACCGGTCGCACTTCGGGAGTGTTCCCTTGTATGGTCTGCTCGGTACTGGGATGGCAGAGGTTTCCGCTTGCTGTTGTTGCATGGAAAGTTTTCGGGGTTTCTCGCGTTCTGTCTGAGTTTGACGCTTCCGTTTCTTTTTCTTTGGTTTTTGGCTTTGCGGGCCTGAGGCCGTTACCGTTTGGTGACTTCCTGGATGGATACCACGATTGGAAACTTCATTCCCATCAGTAGCATTGACTGTGCTGTTAGCGCTACGGTGCGCAGGAACCGCGGTTACGGCAGCCACTGCGGCAGCTGTAACTGCCATTTGAAAGGTAGCGGCGTCCATAGGAAAAGTAGAGGTCTCGTTACTTGGCTGGTTGTTTCCGGATGACGACATGATTTTGTTAATACGAAAGAATAAAGGTTTTGTGAGCGATTCTGGTTGACCCTTGATGTACTTAGATTGTCCTTGAAAAGAGTAAGAGTATGATCTCGAAAGTTTGACCTACATCCCTATGATGCAGTCCTAGTAAAGAATGAAAGTATGTTAGCGAAGGTTTGACCTACATCCCTATGATGCAGTCCTAGTACGGAATGGGAGTATGTTCGTAGAATGGTCGCAAGACGTTTGTCGTTCGAGCTGAGGTATCATGGGTTGGAGATCCAACCACGGAAAGAGGCTTGGAAGTGTCTCCGGAGATAAATCGTTATAGTCCAATGACTTAACTAAAGCATGTTTCATATAGACTCCAATGAAAGTATGATAAGAGTACTTGAATGAAGAATGACACAGAAGTTAGTCGGCTGTCAATATCTTTGATATTCACGATGTAAGGATTCTGGAAAATGATCTTGTAAAGGTCTTACATCATATCCGCAGAAGATAGTTCCTGACAGCCTAAAGACCTAGCTAAAGTACTTACGGAACAAGAAAATTTCCTAGAAAATGCCACATCAGGTATAGACAGAAAATTATGATTCTTCTTTATAAGGAAATAAAGTAAAGCGTCTACTACTGGCGACGGTCATCACTCTGGTGAACTCTTAGTTCAGCCAATTGACGTTCCATGTCAAGTAGGTGTCTTTCGTACACCATCTGGCTTACTCAGAGCCCTATGACTTCAGCTCGTGATTCAGCCAGTGCTTGCAGCAGGGTTTCATGGTTTCTCTCTAACCTCTCGTGAGCATCTTCTTAGACGAACGGTGCGGAGGGTATGCATTCTAGCATAGGCGACTACTTCTGTAATCTGACTTAGGGCTGTCCTGCCTTGAATCTCCTTTCGGGCCATTCTGCGGACCAAGATTGGCAAGAATCTATCTGCTGAGCCCCCACTGCTCAAGTCGGAAAAGCTTCGGTCGCCATCAAATAGCATAGATTGATCTTGTCCTTGGCTCCATATTTCCAAGCATTCCACACACTCAGGGTCGGGCCATGAAAAAGCCGGACGAGGGTTAGGAATTGGAAAGGGAGCTGCTCGGAGTAGGTTTTCAACCTCTGCTTCGGAGTTAGCATCATACGAAAAGTCTTCATCATGGTGATCATTCAAGAGGAAAAGGATGATCATTCTCTGGTTATTCTCCAAACCAACCAGCTATGACTTCATTTGGAAGGTACTGGTTGTCGAGGGGATGAAGTCCAGTTATGTTTTCTATGCGAGAATTTAAGGGTAAGAGAATAATTATTAGACGAGCTATCTAGATAATTATTTAGAAAACCTTCATTAGTTACATCGCTATTTGTGAAGTGCATACCAGCTATGTGTAATCTAAACAGGATAGACCTTCGAATAAGTGACCTTAATTCCAAATTCACATAGAATAGGGGCAAGGAAAAATTATCACAGATTCTAAGTCTATTACATCCTAATTACATATAGCCTCAGTGTATCCACTTAGAAACTATCAACTTAAAAATGAAGATCCCGTTTTAGTTCTCAAGTATAAAGTACTTTTAGTAACACCAAATACTCCTATAGTATTTTAAATTTTATTGTTATGTTCTATTGTTCTCGTTGTGGTAGGGTTGGTAAGATTTTAGCATTGTTGCAACCACACACTTAAGCTTAGGCACATGCTAGTCAACCCTCGGATAATATAGGTGATCAGGCTATATCTTCCCAGTTTTGACCATATGTCTCTAAGCCCACTTGTGTTGTCCAACAATCGTAATTCTTTTGTACTGTCCTAGTGACACTGATTTTAGTATGAATGCAGACACGTATATTTACTTAAATATTTTACTATTTAAAGTATAAACTCTAAATCAGAGTATTTTTAATCCCATTGTATTTATAGTTATATTTCGAGACAATGTAATGTAAAACCAATCAAATTTAGGTCAAAATATAACTTTCCTAAAATCTTATTTCGGTTAAATAAAGTAGTAGGAATCGTATCAAGGTTTTCGTACATATAAAGAACCCTAAAATCCGAGTTATAACGAAGAAGTTATGACCAACCGAAGATTCTCGGCAAAACCGGCAACACCGATTAAACGAAAAACGCGAAGTTTCAATACAATAGTTTTTAGCCTTAAGTATCTAAATTAAAGTTATAGATAACCTCAAACCGTGAGCGTACATAAAAAGAACGTCCAAATCTGACTTCGTATGAGAAAGTTATGATTTTGACCTAAATTTGATTGGTTTTACATTACATTGTCTCGAAATATCGGGTTGTCACACATGTGACGCTAACTTGATCCAAAGAACGAAAGGTAACAATGTGCCAATATTTTTTATCAACGTCCAATTGACCAACTCGGTATGTGTTTTCTTCGACAGTTTTTCCTATAGTCTAATGAGTCAAATTGGTAATAGCTTCGGTCCATTCTTTTTTTAAAGTATCAAATATCTTTCTAGTATAATATTGACCTGCTTTTGCTTCGATTGGATGCACTGAAGAAAGAATCGGCCTCGAGTTCATTGTCTTGAAGTCTTCATCTTCTTCGGCGGCCCTTCGAGACTCAACTGCTTTGTCGTATTGTACAACAAATTCATTCAACATGGTCCTTGAATTAACAAATCCATCAAAAAATGAATTGATACTCTCACTTCGTCCGGTTGTTGTCATACCAGCAAAGAAAGTATCCTTCAAGAAGGGTTTAGCCCAATGTATACGTTGGTTATACATGTCACTAATCCAACAATTACTTTCCAATTCATACTTATTACGCATAATCTCCCATCTTGCTTCAAATTGTTCAATGGTGTCACTATTTACCCATTGTTTGTGCGTTTCTTGAAAATCACTATAACGGGAAACATACGATCGAAGGTGATCAGTTTCATGCTTCATGATATGCCATGAACAAAAATGATGTCGAGTATTCGGAAACACTTTTTTATTGCATTTCCCATTGCTTTGTCTTGATCTGTTATAATTGCTTTCGGATACTTATTAAACATACATTTGAGGAAATGTTCAAATAACCATTCAAATGTCTCTTCCTTTTCATTTTCAAGCAATGCTCCACCAAAAAGTATAAACTGCCCATGATGATTCACCCCAGTAAAGGGAGAAAAGCATCTTGAACTTGTTAATCATATAAGTGACATCAAACACAACAACATCTCTGAATTTTGTATAAGCATCTCTTGATCTACCATCAGCCCAAAAGATATTTTTAGGATACCCATCATCAGACAAATCCACGACAAAATACTGGACACTATCAACTAATGTTTTATCTTGAAAATGTTTTATAAGTCCATAGAACTCCTTTCCTTTATGTTGCTTTCGTTGCTCAAATAAGACATCAGCACATTGCTTTGAAGTAACATCAGCTACATTTGAGGTTTTCATTGTATTAACAACCCTTTTAATCTGAGAAGGTTTCAACCCTGCTTGACCAAATTGGAGCATAAGAGATTTACCTTCTATTGAATGGTGGAAATTGTTATGAGATCGATGTTTCATAACCTTCGTAGGTGTCATGGTCAAGTCGTGATTGTGTGTGTCATTAAACGAGTCCACCAACCATTTCTCATCCTCCTGTTTTGTTATTCGAAGCTTTGCTTGACATCCGGTTCTAACATCTCTACGACGTTTTTTCTCATTTTCACTTGAAGCATTTTATCCATCATTTTGAAACCTTCTTTATTACATACATATATCTTCCCAAAATGCTCATTTGTTTTAGGATTTTTAATTGTGTCATCTCTACGTATACCAAAACCATGTAAAAATGAATAATCATTATAAAATGTATAAGCATCATCGGGTGTATCAAAAACCTTTCCAAGTATACTTTCATTGTTAACTTCCTCTTCGTCAAATTCAATGTTCTCAACGATACTATTTATTTTTTCACATTCATATGTTGCTTCCACGTAATCATTTGTATCACTATCTTCGGTTATATATGGTTCTATAGCTTGATTAGTTGCTTCGGCTTCACTCATTGTGGTCTGCAATAGACAACGATGCATATTTCCAAATAAAAGATTAACACCAATTTTTTTTTATATTGAATATAATGGAAACATTATACATAAAAAACACAATAAATAACAAGTTATAAACATGGTAAAAAATTTTAATTTATAAACACGGTAAAAATACTAAAACGAAGAAAGGCTTACGAGAAAAATCAAACCGAAATCAAAGATGCAATCACAGGTCACAAAATGATAATGAAGAACATCTTTTTTTTTTTCATGTCATACGACTCTCCACTAAACATCAAAGAAGTATGTATATTTGCTTTTTTGCATAACTCACTTATTCAAACCACTATATGAAACTCATCTAAATAAATAACAAGTTATGTACTCTTTATGTTTTATATACATACATGTTTTCCAATCCATCTATGTAAAAGTAAATTAAAGCCATTAATATCAATTTACTACTTTGACATATAGTAAAGCATTATCGTTTTCCTTATCATTGTCGATGTACCTTACAACTAAAAACCTCCCTGCACCCCCTCCTTTGGCGCGGGAAACTTCCCCTAGTTTGTATGAATTCTTGTCAATTGCAATTTGTATGAATTAATGTGAATTACAATTTGTATGATTTACGTTAATTGGCTTCCATGGAATTGGAGCAGAAAAAAAACCATTCGTTAAAATACATTACAACTCGGAACATAAAAAGATCATTCTTTAAAATACATTACAACCGATGACTTCATATTCAATTTGTTTGTTGCTTTTTATTATCAATTTTTTATTGTTTGCAATAAGTTTGATCAAATTCATCCAAGTTAACCCAAAACAAAGACTTTAGAAGGCATGAAGTTAACTCTTTAGAATAATGAATTGTCTAAACCATCTATAATAGATCAAACTGTTTTTATTAATGAAGTATATGTTTTCATCCAAAAAAATAATAATAAAAAAAAATACCGCTGCATTATTAATGAAGTATATGCCTTCAGCCAAAAACAAAAAAAAAATGTCGTTGCATTAAAGACCACACAGAGAACCAAATAATTGAAATTAAGGGTTACAAATAATTTTGTAAACTTAATATATGTGTATTAATTGCAAACGATTCCAATTAATAATATAAAAATACAAACTAAGAAGATTGCAATAAGTAGATATAAAAAAATAAATGTTTGTATATTACCTGAAAGAGAGGTCGTAAGAATGAAAAGAACAACCAAACAAGATTATGATTGAATTGAAATCTTCTTTTTATTTTAATTCGTGTGAATTGCAATTCCAGATTCCGATTTCTTGATGATGGAACTATTGGAACGTGATCACGATTAAGGAAATCACATATTTTTTTAAGGATTTATTTTATATAGCAAATTAACCCACTAATCTAAACTATATAGTTTTAAATAGTGGGTACCTAATCTTATATACTTTTAAGGGTATATTCACTTTTCCATATATATATATATATATATATATATATATATATATATATATATATATATATATAAAAGATGACATGGGAAAATAATTTGCTATCACATTTGCCCTTAATTATCTTGATTAGTTCATGTTTGTATATGAATTTACTTATTTATTTTCAAAGGTCATAATCTAAAACCTAAACTTATCATAAAGCCATATGATTCAAACTTTTGAGGCAATTTAGGTAGCAATATAAAATGGACATGACAGCGATGACTAGAGTTAAAACTTTTCTTCCCCAAAACCATTTCTTACATATATACTTTTTAATTGTGAGTGTGTGATATAAGATTCGAAAATTTTAATATTTTCCTACAATTTGTTCCTACTATCTTCTTATACACATGAAAATTAGATTAAAATATTATCAATTTCATTAGATGTGTTATTAAATGTGACATGATACGAGAATAAATAGAAATAAAATGTAAGAAAATATTTAATTTCTCTCGTAACTTGGTAAGATTCCAACATTGTTCGCATGTATTTAATCCCCATATTATACTAAGCAAGTTTTGAATAACATTACCCGATTTAAAACATGCATGGGTATTTCCATGCACTTGCAATTTGCAGTAGTAAAAGGAATACTTTCACAGATGAAAGTCAGAAACCCTCTTAGACTTTTATATGTGAAATTGAAATCTCTTATGTACATCGTAACTGCAATTCCCAACGAAAATCCTCCTCCGGCAAAACTTATTAATCTGCGAACCATCAAATCGTGTTTGGTTCTCGATCGTCGGAACTTATGAAACAGAAATCGTACTCTAACACCCTTTAACGGCAGCAACTATGCCACCGTCGCCGAAAACATCAGGCGCTATGAAGCATATTGGGACATAAAAAAACACCATTAAACAGTTATGACGCCGATAGAAGTATTTTATTAGTTTATATATAGAGAGAAGAAAAGATTTCCTAGTATCTTTGATTAGATTTAATGACACATAAAAGTTAAAAGATATTAATCATATTATAATACAAACTCCTGAAGTTTAAGGTCTTTTACAAGATAGCCCTGAACTCCACTATTTTAACACGGAAAATATACATAAACGTCATTAAAAAGTCAATTTTGGTTTTTTTTTCCCCATTTTGGTACGAGATGATTTTAAGGGTTAAATCGTAAAGTGTAGTTTAGGAGTAGGTTGAGGCTTCTAGTCCAGCGGTATCCGGTGTTATCCTCCCTCATTAAGGTTGAGGGTTCAAGTTCTGTCGTGATCTTAGGTTGATTTAAGGTGTAGTTTAAGAATATGTTAGATTTATCGTTTCAAAAAAAATAATAATAATAAATAAATAAATTGTAAAAATAAAAAATAATAGAAAAAAATAATCGTAGATGATTCTTTTCGTTAATAAGGTTTGAGTTTAAGGATTTTTTTGAAGATTTTTGTTTTCATATATACTAAATTTATTTGAAGAAAACTTACATTTATTTATTAAAAAAAACTCAAAATAAAAACATTTTTTTATTAAAAAACACATTGATAATAATTTATATATCATTTTTGAAAAAAAAAAATTGATTCTCTTTAATAAATATCATTATTACAATCATGAAGATATCATCTATATCATATATATAACTTAAAAATAATTTTGTTGATTTGTTGCAAAATGTGCATTTCTAAGTCAAATGTGACTTCATTGTTAAATTTTTAAGTCTTAGATGTAAAATGTTTATCATAAAACTACAACTTACTGAAGATTCTTTTACAATCAAACAACAACTCATAAAAAACATGTTTATCAAATATTGTTATTCCTAAATAGAGTTTCATTATATATATTATGTGGCCTAGAAACACACTCCTTAGAACAAATCAACAAAAGTTTTATTAATTGTATTTAATATGTTTTTTTATAACTATTGTAGCTCATGTATTAATATAAGAGGCTATTATCATATTTATATGAAATATGTGGTTATTTCCTAAGTACGTTTTATGTTCATTAATACCTCATATTTATGAAAAATACAAAATTATTTTAACATTTTATCAAGTTTTGCACCCTCTTAACCGGTCACCATTATCGTAATAACCCTCATATTTACACATCATCACCACAACACTCTTATGATGAAAACGTATAAGTGTAACATTTTAGGCACCAAGGTTGCCCTTATATTTATTTGAAAGCCCTTAGGTCACTGACTATTTGTTCACAACCTGATAAAAAGTGACAAAAATTACCAATTGAGAAGCATTAATGAACATAAATTTGGACTTAAGACATAACCACACATTAAATGTAAATATGATGGCAGTTATGGCAATAACCCTAATATAAGAGTTACAATAGTTATAAAAACACATGTTAAATACAATTAATAGGAGTTTTGTTGATTTATCGTAAAAAGGTAAAAAAAAAATTGTTTCTAGGCCACATATATCATAGAGCTTATTTAGGGATTGTATTTAGATGTTATCTTTATGATTATAGTAATGATATCTATTAAAAAAAAGATATATAAATAATCATTATTGTATTTTTTTTAATAGAAAAAATATTAGTTTTATAGTGAAAGTGATATAGATGGTATCTTTATTTTATGTTTTTTAATAAATAAATATATAAGTTGTCTTTAAATAATTTTAGTATATATATATATATATATATATATATATATATATATATATATATATATATATATATTTAGGGTTTTTTTTTTTTTTTGCAATTTAACTCATAAATCTGACACTAATATGGTATAATGGTTATTTTACAAGTGTTTATCGGTTTTAGACTGTGTTTGACGCGCCACAGCTACCTGATAAGCTAGCTTATTTTTCGAACCTTTTTATGTTGTCGTGTTTGGTAAGCCAAAAAGTAGCTTATAAGCTAACTTATCCGCAAGCTTTTTAAAAAACTACTTAGACTAGCTTTTTAGAGGTTTTTTTAAAAAATTTCGAATACACCTATTAATTAATTATAGAAACACATATCCTTACATGTTCTTTTATGTAATTTTATATATTTCAGCTAGCTTTTTAGCTAGTTTTACCAAACGTTATTTTTTATCAGCTAGCTTTTTATTTAACAGCTAGCTTTTCA